CCTTTTGCTACCTTTCCACCTTTTTCTTGTGTGTACTAATTGCTATGAACTTTCCTCTTATGACTGGTTTTGCAGTATCCCATAGATTATGGAAACTTGTGTACTCGTTATTAGTTTCCATGAATCTTTTGATTTCCGTCTTAATCTCTGTAGTAGTCATGGAGTCATTAAGAAGTAAGTTATTCATGCCGGGCGCGTGTGCATGCGTGTCCAAGATCCCGAGAGGAGAATGGAAGAGAAGGGATTGTGGCGTGACCATCCCCCCTGGGGGGTGATTTCTCGCTTTCTGTCTCTATGTCTATCTCTGTCTGTCTGGCGAGCGCACCACCCTATAGTGAAAACCTCCCCCCCCACACCCAAAAAAAAAGAAGTTCAACTCTCCAGTGTGTTCTAGAAAGCTACCAGGGTAAACGGAGGCATGGACACACGATCCCTCTTGGCTCCAGATATTTGGGTCAAAGAAACTGTTCGCAACCCCCTCCCCCAATCTTTTTTAGACTTTTAATTGATAATTCATGATCAGTCAGTTCTAGTTTGGTTTGTAGTTGGCAATAAGATTAACAAGTTTTTTGGGTGAAAAGTTCTCTAGATGTCTATCAAGTCCATCTGATTTTTGGTATCATTTAAGTCCTGAATCTTTTTGCTTATTTTTGTCTCATTGACCTGTCTAAAGGAGATAATGGGGTGTTAAGATCTCCAACAATTATAGTGTTTCAGTCTCTCTCTCTCTCCTTTTAGATCTAGCAGTCTCTCTTTTACATATTTGGGTGCTCCTGAGTTCGGTGCATAGATATTTATAATCATTATATCTTCTTGGTGAATTAGCCCTTTTACTACTATATAATACTCTTCTTTGTCTTTTCTTACAAAAAGCCTATTTTGTCCTAAATAAGTATAGCAACTCCCGCTCTTTTTGGTTTCCATTTGCATGGAATACCTTTTTCCAGCCCTTCTCTTTTAGTCTATTTATGTTTTTATCCATGAGATGGGTTTCTTGTAGGCAGCAGATGGAGGGTTTCTGATTTTTCATCCATTCAGCCAATCTGTGTCTCTTGCTCAGAGAATTTAATCCATTGATATTCAATGTTGTTATTGATATTTCCGGACTCATCCCTATCATTAAGTTGGCCATATTTCTGGTTGTTTTTTGTTCTCTTATTGCTGTCTGTCTAGTTTTCTTGGTATAGTACTCTTTTCAGAATTTTCTTGAAGAACTGGTCTGGAGTTGGTAAATTCTATCAGGTTTTGTTTACCCGAGAAGTTTTTTTTTTGTTTTCTTTTCCCATATGAAGGATAATCTTGCCAGATATAGTATTGTTGGTTGAAATTGTTTTTCATTTAACACGTTGAATATATTTCCCCATTCTTTCCTTGCTCGTATTGTTTCTGATGACAGGTCCATTGTTAGTCTGATGAGATAGCCTTTGTAAGTCATTTGACCTTTCTGTCTTGTGAATCTTAGTATCTTGTCTTTATCTGTCATTTTGGTCAATCTAGCTATAATGTGGTGTGGAGAGGCTCTTCTTGTATTGATTCTACTTATTTTAATTTGACCAGAGAGGGACAGAGTGAGAAAGAGAGAGGAGAAAAGTGAAAAAACAAGCTGCCAGTTTCAGGACTTGAACCACGGTCTGCCATGTGGAAATACAGTTCCCTTAACCACCATGTCACCTGCCAGCACCCAAATTAAAATGATTCTTTACAAAAACTTAGTTAATTTATTTAAAGACCTGCAGGTGGCGTGGTGGTTAAGGGTGTTGGATTCCTACATGGCTGGCTGCTTGCTTTCTTGCTTTCCTTTTCTCTTTCTCTCTTTCCTTTTCTCTTTCTCTCTGTCTCTCTCTGGTCAAATTGAAATAATAATAATTATAATAACAAATGGAATTAAATAAATAAGTAATTCTTTAAAAAATTTTATTTGACTTGCCAGAGGGTGTGTGCACTTGCCAGGGAGAGACAGGGAGATAGAGAGAGGGAAGGAAAAAGCATCCACTAGTGAAGTGTGGTCATACTGCAATCACTTCTTCATTTCTCCACTTCTCCATCTTGTTGGGATTTGGGGCATACATGCATACACACGTGTCCACTGTGTTCTTTGAACTGCCAGGGCCATGATTCAGATTGTGGCTGGTCATGTGGGATCTGATTCCCCTTAACCACTATACTATAGTGCCAGTCCAGTTAGATCTTTATTCTGATTTTATTTTTATTTTTGCTAGTAGTCTTGCCAGACAGGAAATACAAGTGGTAAAGTTTGTACATTGGAAAATGTCTTTCTTTTTCCTTCACACAAGAGTGATTGATTGATCAGGTAGAGGAATTTGGCTTGGAGCCCAATCTCTTTTCTCAAAACATAGTAATGACTTTTCTTCTGCCTTAAAAGTTCAAAGGTAGGGACCAGCAGTTAGCGTAATGGCTATGTCACTGGACTCCCGTGTAGTCGACCACAGTTCGAGTCCCGGACCCAGTGGCTTAAACTCACGCCGGGCGTGTGTGTGTGCATGCCCAAGATCCTGAGAGGAGAATGGAGGGGAAGAGATTGCGGCGTGGCCATCCCCCTGGGGGGTGATTTCTCACTTTCTGTCTCTCTGTCTCTCTCTCTCTTTCTGGCGAGCACACGCACCCTATAGCAAAAACCTCTCCAAAAAAAAAAAAAAAAGTTGAAAGGTAAAGATTTGATAAGGCTGCCTTGTTTCTTTCTCACTTGTTGATAACCACTTCTTTTTGGAAGCATATAAAATTTTTTCTTGGGCTGGTTCCAAGGTGCAGCAGTAATGTTCTGCTCAAGAGAAGCTGGATCCCACATGGCAGGCATTGTTCAAATCTTCGGCCTGGTCCACCTGAAAAAGGGCAGGCCTGTGTGCCAGTGTCCAAGAGCTGAAAGACTGGAGATCAGGAGGAAGGGGATTACGGCATGACCAGGTCCTGTGCTCTCATCACTGCTTCCTCCCTCCATGCCTCTCTTTTCTTATGTACATGTTCCCTGTCATGAATAAAGAATAAAAAACTGATAATTTTCTTTATTCTTGGAGTTCAGGATTTGTCCAGGTATGTCTTTTTGTGTTATTAGCCTTTTTTTTTATTGCCAGAGGTATACATACTCTTACACATGCTTATGAGAGAGAGAGAGAGAGAAACAGAGAGAAAACCTCCCCATGGAGCGGGGTCATGCTGTAAACCTTTTTCTTCCATTCCTCTTTGCCATCAGGATTTTGGATACTCATGCACATGTGCCTGGCATGTATTTCAAGCTGCCAGGGCCAGGACCCAAACATGGTTGCCCATGTGAAATCTGACTTCCAATACACAGGGCTTATCCACTGTGCTACAGAGCTGGCCCTTATGTTGTTAATCTTGATACTTCATAAGACTTTCCAGTCTGAAACTGCAAACTATCTTCAGCCTGTGATAGTTTAATCTGTGTTTAAGACCATTATTACTTCTCCATTTGTACCTGTGTTTTGTTTGTTGTAGCCAGAGGTTGTTGTGCACTCTGAAGAGAGAGAGAGAGAGAGAGAGAGAGAGAGAGAGAGAGAGAAAGAGTAGAAACACCCCGCATGGGGACTGGTCACATCACAGTCTCTTTTCCTTAAGAGATAGAGAGAAAGGGAAAGTGAGGAAGCACCCCTCACGGGGAATGGTCACATTACAGTCTCTTTTCCTTCATTTCTCCCTCCAGTCAGGATTTTGGGCATGCATGTACCTACACACCTGGGTCTTCAGGGTCTTCTTCAGTTTTTAAAAATTTACTGTAGGGTGCCCACACTCACCAGAAAGAGACAGAAAGACAGAGAGAGAAGGAAAGTGATAAAGCATCTGAGAGAGAGAGAGAGGAAAATGAGAAAGCATCCTCCAGGGGGAATGGCCATACCATAATCACTTCCCCTCTCAGGATTTTGGACATGCACACATATGTGCCCAGCATATTTTTCAGATCACCGGGTCTGTACTTGAATCACACAGTCGGCCATGTGAAATCCAGCTGCCTTAACCACCACTTTCCTGTCTGGCCCCTTCATTTTTTGGTTTGTATTTTCAGTCAAATTTACATTTGATTTTTGTTCTAAGTGTAAGCTCTCTCCCTTGGTCTTCTAGAGATTGATTATTAGTATTGTCTGTTCTGTTTTTTACTACATCTGTTGTATTTCTATTTGGTATCAACATTCTCCAGTTGGGGGAATCTTTTTTGCCTACATAGTTCCTTTAAAGTATCTTCTTGAATCTCTTCAAGAATTTGCAGTAGTATTGAAGTTCTATTTTCTACATTAACTCTGCTTCAATGTGAGCCACCCAATGTGATTGTGGAGCCTGTTCTCTGTGTGGTCATCTTGAGCTGCTTGTATATGTTTATTTATTCCGACCTTCTAGAACCTCCTTCCTCTTGAGGAATTCCTTTAGTCCTCTTAAAGGTAGTGACAATTAAGGGAAATCATTCTTCCTCAGGAAGCCAGCTGTGAAGGGGCTACCAGAAGGGACTTCTTGAAGAGGGGAGAGGCCTCTTAAGTTCCTGGGCATGCTAAGCCATGCTTGGAGATATAGAGCTCTTTCCTTCTTATATCTAGGGATGCAGCAGCTGAACTGACCAGGTCAAGTCCCTTTGGAGGTAATGGCCTCAGCAAGGGCACATTTCCCACATGCTTCTGGCATTTGCCCAGCCTTAACCAAGGCTAGGACTCCACAAATCACTTTCCTATGTTGCCAGCTCCTTCACTTCAGTCTGGCACTGAAATTGTCAAGTTGTACCCAGTGGAAGTAGGAGGGAGAGAGAGAGGAGTCACAAATGCATATTTAGGTCATGCTTTACAGAATTAAGAATTCTTTCAGTTTGCATTGAAGTAATGCTCCAGACATATCCAGTTTTTCCTCTGATGCTAGTGTTACCTTCTGTGTCTCTGTCTTGTCTAAGGCTTCCAAAGTTCCTAATGTGGCCTGGCCTAAATTAAGGTGTCAATAAATGTTGGGTAGGTGGATGATGGCTTTTTTCTTTTTTCTTTTTGTAGAAAATAAAAAGACAGGTAATTGTTCCAAAAGCTGCAAGAAGGTAAGTTGGCCCTACCTTGAGGTGATGTATATGCCTATTGCTGGGGGTAGGGTCAGGAACAGGTTGCCTGCCTTGGGCAAGACTCACAAAATCCATTAGATATTGAGTGACTCTGGACAGAGCACCACATTGGAATCTGGAGATTCAGCTCTCTCTCCCTCTCTGGGTAGCTGCAGCAGAGAATCAATAGCATTTAAATTTCCACCATAAGCCATATGCTGTTTTGTGCTTGATTTACCGTGGTAGATGTTATCTCCTTTTTTTTTACTGGATGAGGAAATAGCCTCATCGAGAAAGTTCCTAGGGTCATGGTAACACAGCTGGGGCTTGAGTCTGTTGGATTCCCAAGTCCCTGTTTATCATGGAGAGGAGGGATACCAAAACATCATTTTTGTCCCCAGCTCCTGGACCTCCTGGTCCTTATGGGAAAGATGTTGTTGGCAAGTAAGGTATAAGGTAAAAGAGTGAGCAGAATGTGTGGGCTAAAGAAGGCTTGGGCTCTCAAATGTTAGAGTAAAGTCCTCAAACTTTCACCAACCCTCTGATAATAAGGAGTGGTGGGCTAAAACACAGATTGCTGGCCCCCACTCTAACATTTCTGATTAAGTGGGCCTGGCATGGCTTCTGATAAAATGTATTTATTTTTTTAGTGATTTTTACTATAGGGTGTGTGTACTCGCCAGAGAGACACACACAGAGAGAGAGAGAGAGAGAGAAAGTGAGAAATCATCCCCCAGGGACAATGGCCATGCTACGATCCCTTTCTCCTCCATTCTCCTCTTAGGGTTTTGGGCACATGCTCTCACATGCTTGTCATGAGTTTCAAGCCACTCACTAGGTCTGGGACTCAAACCATAGTCAACCATGTGGGAGTCTAGCACCTTAAGCACCTCACAGCCTACTTGCCCCAATTTGTATTTGTATCAAGTTGTCCCAGGTGCCACTGCTAGGCCAAGGACCACACTTTGAGAGCTACTTGTCTAGACCTCCTTCCTGACTTTGGGAAACTTTTCCAGCTTCCCCCACCCCATTTCCCTAGAGTTCTTCATTCAGTTCCTGCCTAGAGAAGGGGGATCTTTTTCTAGCCAAATAGTTACATCTCTTAAGAACAGAGCCTTTTTGCCTACTCCTCTTCTTCCTGTCCCCTGCAAACTATATTTCTCTGAACAATTTAACTCCTGCTCCTCTGGGGATGGGTTATTTCCATGGGCTACTTAGCTCTGTTTAATTTATTTTTTTCCTCTTGTGTGGTAACCAGCCTGCAAAACAAAATGGGAAGAAAGCAATCTCCAGAGTGGCCTCTGTTCCCCAGTTTGTTCATGCCAATGATCATGCCAGTTGGAAGGCTGAATTAAAAAAGAAGAGGGTAAGCTTTTTACCCTTTTTGGGAGAGAAGACCTGGCTTGAATACAAGGTATTTTCAAGTCAGAGGCTGTTTGTGGAAGGGGGAAGACGGAGGTTAGTTACCTTGATGACTGATTCAGTGTCTCCATTTGCTTGACTCTCTCTCACCCTCTGTCCATTGCTGCCTGGCTTATGTTCCTTCTGTTCCATGGGAACAGCCCCATTGGCCTCACCAGCAGCTTTCCTGACATTACCTTCCCTTATCTTTTTTTTTAAAAAAAGAATTATTTATTTAATTTTATTTATTGTTGTCATTATTATTTTTTAAATTTACTACAAGGCACTGGTGCTGACCAGAGAGACAGAGAGTAGAGGAAAGTAAGAAAGCAAGCCACCAGGTCCAAGACTTGAACTGTGTTTGGCCATGTGGGAGTCCAGTGCCTTACTCACCACACCACCTGCTGGGCTTCACACATTCCCTTCTTTTGTTGGAATTGCCAGTATATGCCACTGCTTTCCTTGATGCTCTCTGACTGACCTTTTGGCCACCTCACTCTCCTGGATACCACCCCTCTCCCCAGCCTGTGATAGAGCATGTGCACACATGACAGAGAGAGGGAGGGGTAAGGAACACCTTCCATAGAGTTTTGTCTTGCTGCAGTCCCCTTCTCACAGTCTTCTTTTACTTTGGCAAGATCCTAGGCACATATGTGTGTTTTCAGTCCAAGTGGTGTGGGGACTCAAACCACAGTTGGCTTGTGGCTTCTAGTTCTGCAGTCTGGTATGCTACTGACTGCACCACAGAGATTGAGACCTCCTTCCTTTTTAGGCCAGTCTTTTCTAGTCTCTTTCATTGTTCTTTTCCTCCTCTTTAACTGGTGGAGTATCTTAGAACCTCGATCTGTTTCCCTCTCTGATCTTAAGCAGTTCCCTCTACCTAGAATGCATCTCTGCCACTGTTTTATCCCTTAGCTCTCTTTCTCTCTCAAACCCTGCATCTCCTGCTGTCATACCTGCCCTCTCTCTGTACCCCTGCTCTTTCCACATCAGCCATGTCACATTGCTTCCTCTGTCACCCTTCCCTCCCTTAGGCTGCAGACTCAGGCAGCAACAGTCCCAATCTGTATTCACTTGTTAGGTAGAGGAGATGAAGGAGAGGCAGCAAGCTGCCCGGGAACAAGAGAGACAAAGACATAGGACCATCGAGAGTTACTGTCAGGATGTCTTGAGACGCCAGGAAGAGTTTGAGCGCAAGGTAAGAGAGCAGTCTTTGCTCAAGTGGGACTGGTGTGGGTTTGTTGAAAAGTAATTTTTGCTGCTGGAAAGTGAAAGAGAAAGGGCCTGAGGTTGCTGGAGGGAAGGAAGTGAATTAGTGTAGAGGATGGGAATAGTAGAATGAGGTGGAGGCAAGTTGTGGGGGAGATGAAGTACCATTTTGAACCTTACCTGTGACTGGACATCCCTGAAGAATTCTTCTCTCCTAAGCTTGAACTCAAGGACAGCATGGCAGTATGGGTTGGATTGGAGCCAGGAGAGGTGTGACTAGTCATAGAGGGATGGGGGAAAGAGAACAAGTGTACAGGGGGAGGATTGACAGACAAAAACATAATGTGAGGGGTTCGTCCTCCTTTGAGGGTTTCTTGTTGCCCTTCTGGCACATGTCCTTGCCCAGGTACTCTGACATAGAATACATTGCTTACTTTCCCCAAATTGTGTCCCCAACAAGTTATTTTTCTCATTTACACTTCCTCCTTGCATCTTCCCTTAGACACCCATATGCACACTTAGGCCTCTGACTGGTGTTCATTGAGCACACACATGCACAGAGGTACACACAAGCATCCAAGCACCCTATGGGGCTGTTCCTTTTTGTTCAGTTCCCAGCTTTGTTGGTTGGTCAAAGCCGCTTGTCAGTGGGCTGAGCTCACATGGGTTCCTCAGTCTCCTGCTGTTTTCAAAGCCCTAGCTCTCTTTCTCTCCTTTGCTCAGGTGGCAATTTATGTTGGATGCCAATCCATTTGAGTCCCACACGTCGAGCCACGTTGGGTGCCAATCTGCTGGAAGCTGTGCTCCAGCTGGGGTGGGTACACAGGAAGGTGACACGGGTGAACAAAATCAGGCCAAGACTTCAATGCCCCTTAGCATGTTTTGAGCCGGCCACAGCCAGAGTAAACTCAAGACTGCAGCCCTGATGGCCAGGAGCCATGTGTATTTATTATAGAAGGAGTTTTACAGGAGTAGGATGGGTGAGGGGAAGTAAGTGAAAGATTTTACCATAAAAGGTAAATCATTCAAAGTATATGAACAATAATTATAAAACATGACGTCTGTTTTGTTTAGGTATAAACAGTCATAATTCTTGGAACAAGGAAGTCCATTTTTTGGGTGCATTCTTTTTTTAGATTTTGATTACTGGGGAGGGTCTTTGGATGAGAGGGCTCTCAGGAATTTTAATAACCTCAGTCCCAGACCAGCTTGATAACTTTAGTCCCAGATTGGCTTGAGAACTTGAGCCCCAGGTCAGCTTTGAGAACTTCAGCCTCAGGCTAGGGTGGCAGCAAATTGCTGGTTACAAGGGCCTAGAAATAGGTTTAGTAAAGGCAAGGTTAGTATATACTAAAGTGGAATATTTATGTTATCTCTGGGGTAATCTACAGCTAAGAGGGTGAGCCTAGTGTCTACATGGGAAAGGAATGTGGTCTTGTGAACAGCTTAATGACTGACCTAAAGGTTACTGTGTACTTGGGACCCTCTACGTGCTGCTCTATACAGTGGCTGTGGCTTGGGGAATGGCAATCTTCCCTTGTCCTGAAAGTAAGGGTGGCTTAAGGTTTTTGGGGTAACAGCACCTTGTGGATGAGTACCTGAGCCCCTCTCGGCTACTGAGATTGTCTCACCAATTAGTAGCTTTAACCTAAACCTTTCTAATCCTTATCTATGTAATCCCCAGTAGGAGAAGTGAATGTAGCATTCTTTATTGACATTTTCCAGGAGGGTGGGGTGAATTTAATGGGAGTAATTCCTGTTCACAGCCGCAGCCTTAGTGGATCTGCATTCCTTCAAGATTATTGTAAAAGTTATAGTGAGGCAGGGGGGGCCTTTATGGGGTACCAGGGAATGGCAATAAGGCCCATGGCAGAGAAATTGAGTGCAGGCCAGTACAGCAACACAATGGAGGATCAGAACTCGTATAACTGTTGACCTTGCAAACAGTTCTCCTCAGCCGAGTCCTTGCTCTTAGGCATGAGGGGCAGTTCTTTCATACTCAGCTTGTGTTAACTGCATGGTCCCAGCAGCTCCTCTCTTCCCTCAAACCCCCCCCTTTTTAAAAAAAATCTTTTAGGAAGAAGTTTTGCAGGAGTTGAATATGTCTCCTCAGCTGGATGATGAGGCCACAAGGAAGGCTTATTACAAGGAGTTTCGTAAGGTATGGGGACCCATTTCTTTCTTCTCTTATTTGTGAAAGTTTGTTTCTTCCATGAGAGTAAGAGAGGCAGAGGCAGAGAGATAAATAGACAGACACCACCAGCATGGTCCCCACACTGTGATCCACCTGTAGTCTTAGCTAGTCTGAGTCATGGGCCTGTATGTGTGTGTCTAACAAACTCAGGAAGGATGTGAACCCAGGACTTTCCCATGTGGGTATGATTGCACTACTGCTGCACCACTACTTGGCCCATTGGGACCCATTCCTTAAGGCCTTTTGGGAAGGGCCCCAACCTAGTCCCATTTTATTTCCATTTCTATATTTCCTGACTTAGATGAAGACCTTTTCTTTCATGGGCCTGTGTGACTACCATTCAGTTCTTTCCTGACCTCATCCCCTTGTCCTCTGCACTGTAGGTGGTGGAATACTCAGATGTGATTCTAGAAGTTTTAGATGCCAGAGATCCATTGGGCTGCCGCTGCTTCCAAATGGAGAACGCTGTCCTGAGGGCGGAAGGCAACAAGAAGCTAGTTCTGGTCTTGAACAAGATTGGTGGGTGTTGGGCAGCATTGGGTGAGGCAGGGGAGGGGCCAGGCCTTCTTAAAAGACTAGCTTGGATCAGATATCTAAACCCAACAAAAACTCAGTGGTATCTATAACTGTCATGCAAGGTAGGAATTTTTGTTTGAGTTTTCAAAGCCAGGAACCTTATCTGAAGATACATGTACACATGTGCACATGTGTATACACATACAGGGTAGCACTAGTTGGAAGTCGACTCTAAGCCTGTCTGCCTTAAGTTCCTTGTTCTTGCCATTTGAGGCCTTCTATGTGATTAGAAAACCCTGGAGGTTTCCTGTTTCCCTGAGCATAGATGCCAAGACTAAGGCAGAAGGGCCCATAGGCTCAGGAGTCACTCAGATCTGGCCTCGTCTCACTTGTGGTTTTCTCTGGAATATTGGGCATCCTTTTTATTTTCTAGCTGTAAGGTGGGCCGTGCATGTTCCAACTCCACAGGTTTATTGTGAGAATTAATGATAAAGTGCTTGATATATGGTTAGTACTTCAGAAACAATAACCATTCATGCATTCTTATCTGGGTAGTTCTTTTTTTTTAAAGTGTATTTCTTCCATGATTGAGAGGGACAGAGAATGAGAAAGAGAGGGAGAAGGAGACAGGTATCTCCAACAGGGTCTTTATGCTTCAATCTGCCCTCAGCTTTAGCAAGCCCTATATTCTGAGCATGCATGTACCAGTGAGTTCTGGGAGATCTGTAGACATGAATCTAGAACCTTCCTATGTGGGTCAGCCTCCAAGAGCATTGCATTACTTCCACACAACCATCTGGCTTCATGATAGGGTTGTTCTTGACATTTGGTCCAACCTAAAATGATCTAGAAAAAGTATGAAAAATGCAGAGAGAGGCTTCTGGCATTCTGGGCATTCTATTCTCAAATGTTTGGAACCAAGCAACTAGTTTGCCCATTTTCCTCGAGCAGACAGAGACCTCCTCAGGGAGGGCTAGCTGGTCTCATAGACCAGATTGTCCTTTCTACCTCCAGCCTGGGTACTGAGCAGGGACTAACAGGTCTAAACAGAGAGACCTGCTGGTGAGAGATAGCTATGTCCTTGGGTGTGGGTGGATGTGTCTTTGGCAAACCATGGAGGTGTTCTGACCAGCCCCATCTATTTGTGTTTTCCCAAGACCTGGTCCCCAAGGAGGTTGTAAAGAAGTGGCTGGATTACCTTCGGAATGAGCTGCCAACTGTGGCTTTCAAGGCCAGCACCCAGCATCAGGTCAAAAACCTGGTAAGCCTGGACCCAGGGGGCATCATTCAGGGTAGCCTGGAGCCAGGGTCAGGCGTCATGATTTGGAACAGAGCCTGTATCTCTTTGGTAATTGAACTGGGCCTTCAACTTTGCTCTATCTGGTGACTTCTTTCTTTCATTTTTCTTTTTTCTTTTTAATTTGCTGTGGGGCATGTGCACTTGCTGGAGAGAGACAGAGAAAGGGAAAATGAGCAAGCACCCCCAGGGGGAATGACCACGCTACAATTGCTTCTTCTCCATTCACCTCTCAGGATTTTGGGCATACGTGCACATATGCCTAGTGAGTGTTTCAAGCTGTTGGGTCTGGAACTCAAACTGCACAGTCGGCCAATGTGGGATCCAGCTGGCTTAACTATCAAAACACTGGCTGGCCCGGGGTAACTTCTTATTGGTTTCAGTTTACTCCTGAATTTAAATTTTTTTAAAATAATCTTTTTATTGGGACCAGCAGGTAGCGTAATGGCTGTGTCGCTGGATTCCCACGTAGTCGACCGTGGTTCGAGTCCCAGACCTGGTGGCTTGAACTCATGCCGAGCATGTGTGCGTGCGTTCCCAAGATCTCGAGAGGAGAATGGAGGAGAAGGGATTGCAGCATGGCCATCCCCTCTGGGGGGTGATATCTCGCTTTCTGTCTCTCTTTCTTTCTGGCGAGCACGCACTCCCTATAGCAAAAACCTCTTCCCTCCCCCAAAATTATTTTATTTAACTTTATTTGTTTATTTATTTGTAATTTGACCAGAGAGAGACAGAGAGAGAGGGCAAGTGAGAAGGCAAGCTGCCAGGTCGAAGATTCGAACTACAGTCCAGCGCCCTTAACCATCATGCCACCTGCTGGCCCGAGGATTTTTTTTAAGAGTTATTTTCTTTTTTTTTCTACTTCTTTCTTTCTTTCTTTCTTTCTGTCTTTCTTTCTTTCTTTCTTTCTGTCTTTCTTTCTTTCTTTTCACTTCACCAGAGGGGAGAGAGAGAGAAAGGGAAAGTGAGAAAGCAAGCTGCCAGGTCCAGGATTTGAACTGTGGTCAGCCAGGTGGGAGTCCAGTGCCTGTAACCACCATGCCAGCTGCTGGTCCCAGGAATTTTTTTTTAATTTATAAGGATAATTACTACATATGATAGGAAAATTGTGAAATATAGTTGACTATTTGTTAACTTTTTAAAAAAATGCATACCTCCATTCCTTTTTCTCTTTAAAACAAATCACACTGGGACCAGCAGGTGGTGTAGTGGTTAAGGCACTGGACTCCCAGATGGCCAACCATTTGTGTCCCAGACCTGGTGGCTGCTTTCTTTCTCTCTCTCTCTCTGGATGAATTAATGATAATAATAAATAAAATTAAATAATAAATAATTATTTTTTAAAGATCACACTATTATCTAATTATATCATTAGTGCAGAAATACATTTTCATTGTAAAAAATATTAAAGTATGGGACCCACAGGTGGTATAGTGGTTAAGGTGCTGGACTACTGTATGGCCAAATGTGGTTTGAGTCCCAGAACTGGTGGCTTAAAAATCATGCTGGGAACATGTGCACATGCCTAAATCCTGAAAGGAGAATGGAGGAAAAGGGATTGTGGTGTGACCGTCCTCCTTGGGGGGTGATTTCTCACTTTCCCTCTCTGTTTTTGTCTCTCTCTCCAGTGAACATATGTGCCCTATAGCAAAAAAAATCTTAAAAAACAAAGTATTACAAGAACATTGATTGCTTCTGGGTAGAGAATTAGGTACCGAGAGGCCATTTTTCAATTTCGAACCACAGGTTAAAACTTATTTTTAAAAATAGTAGAAAAAAAATAAAATCAACTGGGACCAGCAGATGGCATAATGGTTATTTGCTGGACTACCATGTAGTTGACTACTGTTGGAGTTCTGGACCTAGCGGCTTAAAATTCACGCTGGGCGCCTGTGCGTGTGTGCCTAAGATCCTGAGAGGAGAAAGGAGGAGAAGATACTGTGGTGTGGCCATCCCCCCTTAATGGGTGATTTCTTGTCTGTCTCTCTTTCTCTGTCTTTCTCTCTTGTAAGCGCATGCACCCTATAGCAAAAATCTCTCTCTCAAAAAAAAAATATAAATAAACAAAATCAACTATAAGTAAAACTTTAATATCCTTCCACGAGTACCTCTTTTTAAATTTTTTTAAAGAATTATTTTACTTAACACTTATTTATTTATTTATAATTTGACCAGAGAGGGACAGAGTAAAAGAGAGAGAGAGAGCACAAGAGAGAAGGCAAGTAAGAAAGCAAGCTGCCAGGTCTGAGACTCAAACCATAGTCAGCCGTGTGGGAGTCCAGTGCCATTAACCACCATGCCACTTGCCGGCCCCATCAAATCTTGTATTAATCAGCCACTGTTTCTATCAGTATTTCTAATTCCAGTCTCTTGCTCATAGTCAGACGTAACCACTACTGTCAGTTTGGTGTGTATCCTTCCAGACTTTTTTCTGTTTTGTATATACATAGATGTATATATGAGGGTTCTTCAAAAAGTTCATAGAAAAATGTATGTTATGAGTCAGCAAGTGGTGTGGTGGTTAAAGGTGCTGACTCCCATATGGCCAACAGCAGTTCAATTCCTGGACCTGGTGGCTTGCTTTCAAATTAAAAAATAATAATAACACATGGAAATAAATAAATCATTCTTGTATAAAAAAGAAAGAAAATGTATATTATGAAAAACTTCAGACTTAAAAAATTTTTGCACAAAAACAAACTCATATTTTTTTTGAGAGGTTTTTGCTATAGGGCACGTGCACTCACCAGAAAGACAGAGAGAGACAGAGAGACAGAAGGCAAGAAATCCCCTGCCAAGGGGAATGGCCATGCCATAATCCTTTCTCCATTCTCCTCTTGGGATCTTGGGCATGCATGCACATGTGCCCGGCATGAGTTTAAGCCACCTGGTCTGGGACTCAAACTGCGGTCGAGGACATGGGAGTCCAATGACATAGCCATCACACCAACTGCTGGTCATATTTTAATTTGTTTTTCTTAGAGATTTTTGTATGAAGATAACACCTTTTTTTTTTTTTTTTTTTTTTTTTTTTTTCATTTTCTTGCTGAGGTTATGTACACTCACCAGAAAGAAAGATGGAGACACAGAGAGAGAGGGAGAGGGAAAAGTACTTCCCAGTGGGATGTGGTCATGCTCTAATCCTTTCTCCTCCATTTCTCCATCCTGTTGGGATTTGGGGCATACATACATAAACACCTGTAGTGTCTTTCATGCTGCCTCTGGGGCTAAGACTCAAACTGATCAGCCATGTGGGATTTTGCTCCCTTAACTGTTAGGCTACAGGACCAGCTCTAGAGATAACCCTTTTTGATGTGAAATACAATTAATTTCCAGTTTCTTATTGTTAGAAGCAGTGCTTCCCTTTCACAAATGCTCTGGCATATGTCTTCTTGGCACATGTACAACTGGTTGTTTAGGTTAGCTACTGAGAGGTGGAGTGACTGGTCATAGGCTTTACACATTTTACAGTTGCCTAGACCTTGACAAATTTTGCTCTTCATAATGGCTGAACCATTTTACCCTTCCACCAATGGAGTAGATGAATATATGAGAGGCCTCTTTCTCTATACCTTTGCCAACATTTGATAACATTAAACTTCTAAATCTTTGGTAAATATCTCATTATAATTTTTTTTTGACCATTTGGATGGCAAAATTTGCACATCCTTTTCTAAAATAGCTGTATTTCATTTGTATGTCATTTTAGGGTATGCTTTTTTAACCTGTTTCTTGTTAATGGATATTTAGTTATATTCCAATTTTATGATACTAGAAATAATGCTGAGGTGAGTAGGTAAGGGAAGAGGAAGAGGGGGATGGGTATTCTGGGCAGAGGAGGTGGCATTAGTAGTAAAGAAATGCAAGATGGGATGGCCTTGTCCTGTGTGAGGAATTAAGGGGGAGGCAGGCTGTGCACCAGGTACCATCTCATCCCTGCACAGGCAAACATGAGCACTGAGGCCTAGAGAGGGAATGCAGGCCTTGAATGCCATAGACCTGTGAGAACACACATGTGGCTTATCTAGAACCAGAATGTTATACCCCTGCTAAGGGAGTTGAGAGACATGTTGAGAGACAGAGGAGATAAAAGACACAGACTGGAGGGAAGCAGGGAAGTAGAAGAGGCTCAGGGCTGGTATGAGAAGCCCTGTTTCAGGCCAAGGAGCTCAGCTATCCGACCTTGGAAGTTTGCTTGGAAGTTTGAAATGTGGACTCTGATTGTATCTTTTACTTGATGGCTCTTCTGTAATACTCCTTGTTTTCCAGAATCGCTGCAGTATACCAGTGGATCACGCCTCTGAGTTTATGCTAAAAAACAAAGCCTGCTTTGGGGCTGAAAACCTCATGAGGGTTCTGGGAAACTACTGCCGCCTTGGTGAAGTGCGTACTCACATTCGTGTGGGTGTTGTTGGTAAGGCTTGGTGAGCAGTCAGAAGGTCTAAGCTCCTTCCTCCTGTGGGGACTTTACTGGGGAAAAAAGACATCGACTTTTTAGGGAAGAGCAGAATGGTTCAGGAAGGATTTTATGGTTTGTAATTTGGATCCACGAATGTGGGAAAGCATACATAGTATACAAACCTTGTATTGAGTGTTAGAATTACAGATCAAATGTGTGGTGCCAGGCTTGGAGTTGGCACCACCTCATTCTGTCAGAGCTGTGGGAGGGAGGAGTGCCCACCCCCCTTTTATAGATGAGAACACTGAAGCCCAGACAAGGGAGGAGGGACTGGTGGAGCTCAGCCCTGTGTGAGACAAGGCAGAGGTGAGGCTCATACCTCGGCCTTTCTGGAACCCAGGGTACTGAGGAAGGAACTATGGGAGGGAAATAGAGAAATTGAAAGAGGCAGAAGTAGATTATTAGGGAGAGAAGCCAAGAGAGAAAGACATTGGAGAGAGCTGGACATTGAGAAGATTAGATACACATAGAAGAATAGACATAAAAGAAGACTCAGAAAAAGAACTGAGAGATCAGATGGCAGGGTTAGTGGGGAGTGCAAAAGAGACAAATTTAAATGGCAGACCATGGAGAAAGAGGGAGATGTCATCAGAAAGAAACACCCAAAGAGACATAGACATGTGTACAGATACCTACAGAAGGAGACACAAGAAGGATAGACATACCTCATATCTGTAGAGAGGCAGACATGTATACCAAAGACAGAATGAAGCAAATACACACTCGGGGATAGAGACAGATTTAGAGAGAGAGATGGGTAGAAAGAGGCCTGAATAAGGGTATAGACACAGGAAAATATGCATAGACCTAAGTATACATATGGCTCCATAAACTCAGAGATCTACACGTATGGAGGCATGTATAGATTCAGAGGAGGCCCACAGATAGATGCATGTGAACAAAGCCCTACCCATACATGCTTTCTCTAATTCTGCTCTCCCAAAGCAAACATGGCCATAGAGATAGAGAGGTGCCTGGATAAATTCTAACCCTCAGACCCAATTACGTACCCAGAGTCATAGAGACATGCACAGACATTTCTGTGATGAGACAGATACGTGTGTGTGTGTGTGTGTGTATAGAGAGAGAGAGAGCGAGAGAGAGATGGAGACAGAGAGAGGGTTAGGGAGACATCAACAAGAAGGAAAAGAGCGAGTGAAACATACAGAGGAAACATATGGACAAACAGGCCTATGGAGAGGAGGAATGTGGACAGAAAGAGACTGACAGGAATTGTCATAGAGGGAATTACAAAGAGGCAGAATTGGTGGGTAGGGGAGAATCAAAGAGGAAGGATGATAGTTGGAATGAGAGACAGAATGGCAGAGAGACAGGTGCTTGGAAATACACATATGCAAAGATGCACAGAGCAACAGACATATATGTGATAGAGAAGGAGACCAAGTGGGAGAGAGAAAAAAGGAAAAAACAGTGTGATTTAGAATAAAAATGACCAAGGGACAGACTGGGAGACAAAGGTGTACAGAAATGTCCACATACAAGGGGTACACCCAGGCAATATATATGAGAGAGTAGGACAATTGTAAATTGAAGCACACACTAGAAAAGAATGAGGAAAAGGAGAGACTTAGTTGGGAAGAAACACATAAAGACATCTAAAGACTGAGAGTGGCTTCTTAATACCCAAACAGAAAAACATACACTACAGGCATACAGCTGCACAGGTAGACCAGCATCTGGATGTGAGCCTTCCTCTCTCCCAGGAGAATTACACACCAGAAGAGATGGTTCTCCATGTCACAATCACTTATGAATATCCACCCTCTGTTGGAGTATGTCACCGAGCTTGTATTAGGCACCTCTTCTCCAGGCCGGTTGTGGTAGGAGGTGGGTGTTACATCTGGAGAGAGGGATGTGTCTACCTAGCATGCACAAAAATGGAGAAAAGGCATATGTCTGGAGTTTGGCGACTCCATGGCCTGGTCACTGCCCCTGCCTGGGCCTCCCTCAATAGTCTGGCCTGAATGTTCCTGAATCTGCTGCTACCTTGTAGGCCTTCCCAATGTTGGTAAGAGCAGCCTGATCAATAGCTTGAAGCGCAGTCGTGTTTGCAGTGTGGGAGCTGTTCCTGGAGTCACCAAGTAAGTGCCTGCCTGCTACCTCACTCCACAACTCTATAAGCTTTAATTCTCATCTTTAGCCTATGACCCTTTTCATATCTTGGGCCATTCTCTGATTCTTCCCTGGGCTTGGTAGTTTTTCTAACAGCTTTCATTTATCTGACACATCTAAGGTGTATGCCAGGTACCCAGCTAAGTGCTTCTCTCATGTACTCCTTAAGCCTCCTAACAGACATGCAAGATCAGGCTACTAAGGAGTAGCTCCATTTGCCCAAATGAAGTAACAGACTTGAAGGATCAGAAGCTTGCCCACAGCCCTTCAGCTTAGTACCCAGTGGTAGAGGCTAGTTTAGTATCAGTCCCAAGTCTCTGCCTCCAGAATCCCCCCAGCCCTGCATCTCTCCACCTTTACCTGTAAAACATTGTCCCATCCTCCTTTATTCCTTTCCCTCTAGGCCCAACTTTATGACTGAGGCCTGTAGGAAGCCAGGCATATATGTGCCTTTTTTCTTCTCTCCTGTACCAGATTCATGCAGGAGGTCTACCTGGACAAGTTTATTAGGCTGCTGGATGCTCCAGGCATCGTACCAGGATCCAACTCAGAAGTAGGCACCATTCTGCATAACTGTATCCATGTGCAGAAGTTGGCAGACCCTGTGACCCCAGTGGAGACCATCCTGCAGCGCTGCAACTTGGAGGAGGTATACAGCAGGGTCCCTGGATGTTACTCTACCCTATTCCAAGCACCCTTCGTTCTTCCTCATGACTTATTTCTCCTTTCACCAGATTTCCAACTATTATGGCATCTCTGGCTTCCAGACCACTGAGCACTTTCTGACAGCAGTGGCCCACCGCCTGGGGAGGAAAAAGAAGGGTGGCGTATATAATCAGGAGCAGGCAGCCAAAGCTGTCCTGGCTGACTGGGTGAGGTAAGGTGATAGGCTAGGTTTAAGGGCAAGACTCGCTGGGAGTCTGCTCCATAAAGGAACTCATCTATGTTCATTGTAGCTGGTGGGGCAGCCTGTCTTCCTGGGTCCCAGGGCAGGGGATGACCATGATACCAGGTCATGTTCTGCTCAGGACTTTATGCCCTCAGCAACTCAATCTCTTATTGTTCAGAAGTTACCATCTGGGGTTTATTGTTTTTTATTGGGTTATATCACTGTTTTCTGGCTTGCAAACTCATCTGGGTAGGTCATTTATTCTTTCAATAAGTTCACCACCAATTTCTCCATACCTCCCAATGCAGTGGGAAGATCAGCTTCTATACACCACCACCACCCACCCACACACTGCCTACTCATCTCAATGCTGAGATTGTTAAGGAGATGACTGAGGTCTTTGATATTGAAGATACCAAGCAGGCCAATGAAGACACCATGGAATGTAAGTGTGGGCAGGTGACTGCACTGGGTCCTGTCCTAGTGGAGCCTCACAGACCTGAGAACAAATCCTACATTTGACCTCCCCTTTCCCTGGCCCTTCTCAGGCTTTGGGCAAGTTGTTTAACCAGCTCTAAGCTCAGTTCCTTCTACAAGGTGGAGAATTCTAATTTGGGCCAAGGTGGTGGTGGTAGTGGTGGGCTGATGGTTTGTAAACTTTTGCTAGGTATAAAAAAAAATGGCAAAGTAGCTGGTACCTGTTGAAGTGCATGGGAAACGTGAGGCTTTATTCATCTCTTTGGATCTGGAGCCTACTGAGACGTTCTTCTCAACAACCCTTGTGTGTGCATGTCCAAAATCCTGAGAGAAGAATGGAGAGGGGATTGTGGCATGGCTATAGTCCCTGGGGAGTGATTTCTCACTCTCTCTCCAGTGAGTGTAGAGCACATGCACTCTATGGCAAAAACCTTTTAAAAAATTGTTTCTCCTATGTTGCCTTAGGCTTTTCTTCTTATTATATTTTTCAAGAATTATTTATTTTAATTTTATTTATTCATTCACTTATTTCAGTTTGGCCAGACACACACACACACACACACACACACACACACACATACACACACACACACACACACACACACACACACAGAGTGAGAAAGCAAGCCACCAAGTTCAGGACTTGAACGATGGTCAGCCATGTGGGAATATCCAGTGCCCTGACCACCATGATGGCCCATGTTATTTATTTACTTTTTTAATTTGCTGCATGGCACATGAGTTCATCAGACAGAGAGAGAGAAGAGAGAAAGTAAAAAAGCAAGAAATCAAGCTGCCAGGTCAGAGAGAGAGAAAAAGCAAACTGCCAGGTCTGGGACGCAAACCATTGTTGGCTATGTGGGAGTCCAGCCCCTTAACCACCATGCCACCTGCTGGTCTGCGCTAGTTTTTTTTACAGCTGTTTCAGGTTCATTCCTTGATTTACCTCCTTTTCCCAATTGGTGGTGATGTACTAAGTCATGGAAAGGTGATTTTGCTGAAAGGCTTGTAGTCAGTGGCAGGCAGAGGTAATTTTCTAGCCAGGTCTCCTGACCTGTTGTCTAAGACACTCCTAGTTCAGAGTAGCTTGGTGATTAAAAGCCTGGATTTTCTGGATTTGCATTCAAGCTTGGTTTCCCCTCAGTCATGTGCTTCTGGACAAGTTACTTCACTTCCCCATCTCAGTGATATCATCTATAAAGTGGAGGAGATAGCACACACGTGATAAAGTAGTTGTGAGAATGTGTTTAATATGTAAAAGCCACTTAGAACAACAGTGCCTAGCACATAGTAAATAAATGCTCAGTAAATGTTGGCTGTTATTAAGATGATTATCTGCTGGGGTACAGATGCATGACTTTCAGAAACTCCTAAAGGGAGGTTTGTTCTCTTCTCATACCACCTTCTGCAGCCCTGACTTATGGCTCCTGCTTCCTTCTCAATCCTGTCAAAAAATGGTAGCCAGTGACCCCTGGGCCTGTCTGTAGACGCTCTGGAGTTAGTCATGAAAGTTCTGGCAGGTCTGGCTTTTAGTTTCCTTGTTTCTCTTGAAGGCCAGTAGTTTTCCTTCTGAGTCTTTTAGTGTACTTGGATTACAAATGAGGACAAGAGGACTTGCCTGGTTCCTATTTTATTCCTCATATGGCTTTGGGCAAATCAGCATCCTCACCCCATCCACACACCAACAGGGTCCATCACAGTCATTCTTTCACCAGTTCTCCATTCCATTAGACTCTTGGACATGCACACACTGGTGTTTTTCAAGCCAACAAGGCTGAGACTTGAACCCCAGTTGGCTATGTGGGATTCAGTTTCCTCTGTGCACTGTCTAACCGCAACTGTATGTATGGGGCTGGCCTAGTCAGCCCCTTTTGTGAACTTGAGTTTCTTTTGTCAAGTGGGCAATTGAGAGGGATTCAAGCTTATGAACAGTGATGTTTCACTTTATTTGAGTGTGAAGGCAAGAGGGGCTCCATCACTAAAAGTACATTTTGGCAAAAGCCGGGGTCTGGGAAATTGGGAAGAGGTTAATGGTGGTGGTTTCCTGGAGTTGGCCCTAGTGCTGAGTCGTGGGGATTAGGAGATCCAGTGAATGGGAAGGGGGTGGGTCAAAGTTGTAGAAGCAGGTATGAGGGTGGTGTGTGTATGGGAAAGTGGGCACATCTGAGGGTTGCAGTGGAGTCCAGATTTAGGCAAGGGACCATGAGGAAGAGGAGAGAGTTCTGGCCCTGGAGAGGGAATTCCAGCTGCTGCAGCATATTGGGCCAAAGCATCCCAGGTGTTCTCTGGTGTGCCTCTTAGCAGCCCTTGTGGATAGGGCTTGTGGAATTCCCACTTTCCAGATAAGGAAGCTGAGGCTCTGAGGCCAGCTTCTAGCAGGCAAGTGTCCTACTGCAAAAGCCTTGCTTTTAATCTTTGTCATGTGACCCTACAGCAG